CACAGACTTCCCATCCACCCAGGAAAGAAAAAGTTGTGTAGAGGAAGAGAATCTCAGTTCCATAGTTGGCCAGAAAATGACATTTCAGAAGGGAAATTGGTGAAATTCCCTGCCAAGAGGGAAAAGCCAAAGTGGCCTGACCATCCAGGCATCGCTGCTGTCCTTGAGATGTGCCTGACGGAGGAGAGGATGGTGGTGGAAGCAGGCTGGACACAGCCCCTAAAAAACCCCAATGTAGCTCCAGGAGAGGGGCTCTGGGCAAAGCCCAGCCCAAATTCCCAGCAGCAGCAGCTCGGGAGGTCAGGGGCTGCCTGGGGAATGTCCCATGACCCGTTCCACTGCCACAGGCAGCTCTCTCCAGCCTCCAGGAAAGCTCGGGCTGTTCCCACACGGAGCTTTGCAGCAGGTCTCAGATTAGAGCAGTATTAAAAGTAAGGACTTTGGGGTCGATATTAACCCCAGAGAATTCTGCCTGTGGGCAGGTGGAGGGGCTGACAGACATCAACAGCAGCAGCAGAGTTTCTGCCTCCAGGCTCTTGCAGCAGCCAACTGCTTTTGATTTAAAGAAAAGGCTTTCCTGTCCTGTGCTCTTATGAGAAACACACTTTTCTCCCAGTCCCAAGGTTATTTCTATCCCACAGATGAGGAGAAGGGGATGCAAGCTGACAGGGAACATGGCAAGGAAGTCTAAAGCACAGAGGTGCTGCTTCCTAATATTTTTTTGTATTATCATCACCACTGCTGTGGGAACGAATTACCAATCTCTGCAAGCGATCATTGAAGTGGTTTAATAATAATATGGAAACAAACAAACAAAAAAAAATAGATCAGAACTTTCCAGTCTTGAAGAATTATAGGACGTATTATTGGACATACACAAAGAAACAAAAATGCAGATAATTCCAGGGCGATTTGGATTTTCTCAGAAACAGATCTACAATCATATGTGTCACTTCAGTAAAGGCAAAGAAAAGAGCCTCCATAGGCATAATTGAATTAGAGAAAATCCTGGAATTTGATGAGAGATAAAGTTACCACTAATTCTCTTAGGAAAAAAAAAAAAGAAAAGAAAAAAAAGGGATAAAATTAAAATGTCAAAAGAGCAGTGAGCTGCTAAATTGAACCCTCAGTTTTGGGTGCGTTCACGGTTGTGTTGGCAGCACATCCATGGACACGCCGAAGTAAAACCACCGCAAATGAGAAAGAAAACACCCAAAATGCAACTTTGAAAAGGGCTGAAATGAACAGCACAGAAATGGTTCGGGATTTCCAAATGAGAATTGCAAGGCAAAAACAAATACAAGCAAAATCTGGACCAGTAACAGCCCCAAATGCACTGGGGTTGGGATGGATTCTGTGGGCTGGATTGATGAGAGGGGTACCAAAGACATGGACCCAGCCAGATCCCAGGCTGGCCCTCACCCACTGAGACAGAAAATGGGAGAAATATTTGTTTCTTCCAGTATTTTGCTATATTTCTCCTTTGTTTCAATTTTTGCTTCTGCTGACGTTGAGTTGACAGCAGAAGCACAGGGGTTCAGGGCTGCAGCCTCAGCTCAGGGAAGTGGGGATTTTCAGAGAACTATGAAAATTTAACTCAGATGAACCTTGCCCTGATTTAACAGACTTAAAATGACAGAAAGGAACTTCTCGGGTTCTCAGGCCAGCAGAGGAATTACTGCAAAAACCCTGTGACAGAGAGATTAAAGGCAATGGGCACAAGGAGCTGTTTCGAAGGTGAGGCAGAAGGGAGGGGATCCCTTGTGCTGGCTCCCCAGCCCTGCTGCTTCACTCAGCCTTTTCCCACACTTAAAGGGAAGCAAAACAGTTCTCTGAGAGCCTGAGGGAACCCAAAGAACAAGGTGGGCTGGGAAGGATGTGCCACGATTCTGCTTGGTACCAGAATGCTGCCCCAGATATGAAGTACAGAGACGGAGGTCCCCACATGATATGACTCCGGTATTATTTTTGTCCCAAATACACAGAATGCTGGCTATAGCAATCATCTAGGAATAATATCAGTCCCAAATGCCTTTTTTAACCCAGGAATATTCAGCAGAGCACTGGAGAGATGCACTTCTGCCAGTGATGCCGAGGCTTTTGCAGTGCTGGAACCTGGGGGTGAAGAAAATCCCATTTTCTGACTGTTGCTCATCACCCCTCTGACATTTCAAAGAGATTTTATCTGTCTAGCATGGAAGAGTTCCCAAACTGTTTTTATTAAGAGGACTTTTGTATGCCAGCAATGAATATTACTCTATTACTGAAAGGAATCAAAAGCTAAAGTGCCTGCGTGTACAGTTAATCTATCCAAACAGAAAATGTTTCTTAAAAAATTACGGCACTATTTTTATAACAAACCTCAGCCAAACTCACAACTGAATAAATGGAATGTGTTCTTTTAAAACCAATTTATTTTTTTGATCGTGGGCAAGAAATCCTCTCCTTGCTTTCATTCATCAAGTAATGCTTCACCTTCCCCCCGTATTTGTGTGAAGAG